ATCTTACTCCTACCATCACAATTTGAATTTTGCTACATTAGAAAGGAAAACCTTACTCCATTTAAAGGGTTTTACATTCGTCATAATAGGTAACAAAGGAATCAAAAGCTTTACTCCATCTAAGGCAGTCTTACTCCTTAGATGGAGTAAAGGATTTTCTATTTTTCAAAAGATTTTCAATTTTTTAAAATTATTATTTTTTACTGTTTAAAAAACTATTATTCGAGTGTTATTGGTTCGTACGTGAATCTGTAGTAAAATGGGTGCCATTCTTTTACAAAATCGATGTTCCAAACATGCTCGTGCAATCTGTTTTGTTATCTGAGGTCATCAAGATAAATTTACCGATGAACAAGCTAATTTGAGCCAGTTTTGCACGCAGCGCGGCGAATGAGACATGTTGGTCCGATCGAAGTCGTCTAATAGACAAAAATGCCAACCTACTTTAGCCTAAGCGACGACTGAAATCTAGTAGAATGATCTCGGTACCATGCCTCTCAACACACTTCGAAAGGTATAAAATGAATGTAAAAAATGTATCATAATTTTTTTTTTGAATTTTAGTTTATGATTGATTATTTTAAAAATTGATTTTAATTTTGATTTAATTGTGAAATGTATGTAAATGTGATTGTGGGTGTGATGTGAATTGTGATGTTCAAAAATTTAAATTCTTGAGTCCAAAAGGTCTTCTTAAGGCTTCTCCAATCCTTATGAGTACTCATCTTGAGTTTTAATGTATTGGTCTCAATCCACTCCACCGAGAGTTGAGGATGCAAGACCATACACATGAGACTGCAAGAAGTTAAGGGATGACTTGAATTTCTAAGTGGTGTGGGTCTCAATACTAGTCATCTCGGAGAGACAGAAGGGAAATCCTGTGACTAGTTTCTAAGTTCTAGAGAGGGAAACATACCTGACCAAAAATGAATTCAACTAATGAACCTCAATAGGTGTGGTGTGCTTCTTAATGTTGATAGAAATGATCAACAAAATATGAAATGATGTCTAAGCAAAGATACTCAAAACAAAATACATCTTGCTCCATTTAAGGTGGTCTTACTCCTACCCTCAGAATTTGAATTTTGCTATATTATGAAGGAAAACCTTACTCCATTTAAGGGGGTTTTAAATTCGTCATAAAATGAAGGAATCGAAAGCCTTACTCCATCTAAGGCAGTCTTACTCATCAACCTCTATAATTAATTTGCACCATTACATTAGGAAGAAATATCTTAACATCTATTGAAGGGGGTTTCACATCCATCCTACGGTAACGTAGAATTGGAAGTCTTATTCCATCTAAGATGGTCTCACTCCTCAACCTCTAGATTTATTTTGAACCCTTACATTATGAATGAATACCTTAACATCCATTAAAGGGGGGTTTCACATCCGTCCTAAGGTAATGTATAATCAAAAGTCTTTTTCCATCTAAGGTGGTCTTACTCCTCAAACTCTAGATTTAATTTGAATCATTACATTAGGAAGGAAAACCTTAACATCTATTAAAAGGGGTTTCACATCCATCCTAAGGCAATGCAGAATCAGAAGCCTTACTCCATCTAAGGTGGTCATACTCCTCAACCTCGAGATTTAATTTGAAACATTACATTAAGAAGGAATACCTTAACCTCCATTTAAGGTGGTCATACTCCTCACCCTCTAGATTCATTTGAACCATTACATAGGAAGGAATACCTTAACAACTATTAAAGGGGGTTTCACATCCATCCTAAGGTAATACAGAATCAGAAGTCCTACTCCATTTAAGGTGGTCTTACTCCTCATCCTATCAACTTAAATTTTTTCTTTTTTTATTTATTAAAATTTGAGTGATTTATGTAATTCATGAAAATATTATTTGAATTTGTTGAGATTACAAAATTTGTAGAGGTTATGAAATATTATGAAATTATATGAGGATTATAAAACTAGTGAAAATTTATGGAACTTATAAATTCATGGGAGATTTATGGAGCTTGTGGAAGTTGTGAAAAATATCTGTCGCATTAGAAAAGAATGTCGGCGGACTCATATCTAACCCAAGAGGTGAACAAGTGAATCAGATTGAAAAGGAATGCCAAGTGACTCACATCCAACTCAAGAGATGATCAAAGAAATGTCTGTGTGAAAAGAGATTTAGTTTCATATCAATAGAACAGTCAAACTTCATCCACACGAGAAAAGAGACTAAGAGGAGTGCAATTCTATGTAGATAGAGCTAGCTAACCTCTTCCATGCGAGACAGACAACCCAGAGCTTTTGTGGAAGGAAACATCGACCCAAATAAAGAATGAAGCTAGTGATAGGTTGGGAAGACTCAACCCGAGCAGGTCGAAATTTGAGTTTGGATTTTGATTTTGATTATTTTGATTTGATTTGATTTGATTTGGTTTTCTTTTTTTTGTTAGTTTTATGTTTGTGTTTGGTATAGGCCACTCGTGGAAATTACACCTTGCCTAACTTGTTTTCAAATATCTTTATTTCTTCAAACTTGTTTGTTTATTTTATTTTTTCATTTGTTTCATTCTTTTTATTTATTTTATTTTATTTCCTATATTTTTTATTTCATTTTGAATTGTTTTGATTGGAATTTCTTATTATCTTTATATTTGTGTTAGGTACATGCCACCAATGGGAATTATACAGTGCCTAACTGATTTTCAAATATATTTCTTTTTTTCAAACTAATTTATTGTTTCTTCATTTTCTTCATTTATTTCATTCTCTTTATTTGTTTTGTTTCATTTCCTTTATTTTTTTATTTCATTTTGATTTGTTTTGATTTAATTTCTTTTTATTCAATTTAATTTAAGCTTTATGAGTTTTTTAGTTACATTATTTTTATTTATGATTTGACCTAATTTTGGACAAGCGCGACAATAACGTTTATAAGAATAATATTTTATTTCTAAAGTTTGTTATTTAAAAAAACATATTGCATAATACTTCTTGAGATCATCCATTGATTGGAAGCACATGTAAAAATAATTCATTTTTTAATGTACTATCAGAGCTATGTTCCTTCAAGTATACATAATAATGTGTTATTTTTAAGAACATCAAAGCTCAAGAGGTTGCAACTTCTTAGCTCCATTTGCAGTAGTTATTATTTCTTTAACACCAATATTAAACAAATTGTCCATATTGTCCCAAAAGATACTTGGACGTCCTTGAATTGAAATTTGAGTTGAATTTTCTGGGCATAGAAAATATGACTTAAGGGTTGAATTTTCATTAATTTGTGGCAATCGAGTAATGTATTATCATCTTAGCATGGTACAAAGATTTAACACTTACTCAGAAAGAGCGAAAACAACTAGCAGTGACACCACAAGCTTTTACATGAAAACCCGTAGGGAAAAATCACAGGACATGACCCAGTTGTAAAAAAATCCACTATAAATTGATAATTATAGAGTCCCATTGTCCCACAGGCGGGAAAATGTTACAAAGTCTTCCGAATTACAACGTCGATATGCAGATAAACTTGTTGCAAGAAATGGGTGGCGAGCGATCAATAAGTGGTAGTTGATGACGTTCGATGACGGTCAATGGTGGTTGGCGGTGGTTGATGGAGATTGACAGTGATTGACGATGACAGAAGCGACGCTCAATTTTAGCTCTTTCTCAAAGTTTCAAATTCTTCCTTAAGCCTCAAAGTCTCCTCACGCCTCATGAGAGGAATAAAACTCTATTTATAGAGTTATGTGTACAATTAATGCATGAATATGAACAACTTTGATTGGACGACTCAGACGGCTTCCTTCGATCAACGATCTTTAATGGACATTTGAAGACATTAATAATGCCAGAATTGAGTGATATTTGACTCGTTGGATTTATCTTACCAAGATGCTCGATTAGACTGTGAGCTCGCCGGATTCGACAACCATTTGAACTTTCAAATATGTTCTTAATGCTTCCAAAAGCGATTTAATGGCTTGATCAGAGCTCAATTTCGTTCAGATTGGATCAATATTAATACCATTTAGTCCGTCTCGCCGAGTCAAATAGTTTGACTATAAGTTTTCTGAAATAGGTGCATTGGATGACTTTTAATGAAAATTTGAATATTTCTTTCTCAAAAAGATGCATCGAGATCCATGCAATGCCTTGAGATTCGTGTTAGATTATGAAAATTTGTTGATGGGGTATCAAATCTCTATCATGAATATTTAACTATAAATTCAGGTTTATTTCAGAGAGTTGTTAATATTTTTTAAATTTTCATTTTTATAAAAAAATAAATTTATTTATAATTATTAAATCTAATTTTTGATTTATATTATGCTATTCAAAAAACTAACAATTTTAAATTTTTTTATGATTAACAACCAAAGGACATTAGGAGGAAACATAAGCCTGCATAGAAGAGTAAAAATGTGTTGACTAAAAATTGAGGTCAATAATCGCTTGCTGCTGCACATCCCCCTACCTTGCCACCACATTCCCAAGCCAACATAACCACAATCGCACCATATTCACTTTAGTTGTATATCTTGTATCATGTCTGTTGTTATCTCGATTTTTCGTATATTGGTTGTAACCAACTATTAGACGTTTTCAATAATAATAATATTTATTTATTTATTATTATTTGAGTTAACTTCGATATAAAGCCTTGGGATGCATTTTTCTAAATTCATTTTCTTTACTAGCAGGGTCAGCATTGTTTGTTCCATCTTACTTTTCCCTCATTACCGCAGCTTCGCTTCTAACTTCGGATAAAGCAGAAGCTGTGGTGGAGAAAAAGAGGCTTAACCGAGGGTGCGTATATGGCATGAATGTACTTAATGCATAATAATAAAATTTAGAGTGTCAAATAAATAAAAATATTTTATGTACTGTTTATGTAAAATCACAATGTATGAAATATAAACACACCCAAGTGCATTAACTAGTCCAAGTGATCAGCCCACACCAATTTGTTGCCAGATCCATGGGTTCACACGCAAAACTAATCCTACGGCTCCCCTCTCTTATATTTATAGCCCACAGGTTTTCCAATTTCTCCGAACCCTAACCGGTGCAACTTCGTTCCCTCTCCTTCTGCTCTCTGCGTCGACGCCTTGCATTATTCAGCCGAGATGAAGGTACTTTGTTTTTGATACGAGCTTTAGGAACTAGGGGAAATAATCGATTTTTCTTAGTTTTGCCAATTGACAGTTCTGGAGTACGCGTGGCGATTGTGAAACCTCTTTGTTTTAATTTTTGCAGTTCAACATTGCGAATCCTACCACTGGGTGCCAGAAAAAGCTCGAGATTGATGACGATCAGAAACTGTGAGCTTTTTCCTTAAGCATTAATCTGTGCTCCTTAGGTCATGGTTTTTGTGGTGCTGGTATGATTTTTTTGTTTTAGTATCCATTTGCGAAACTAGACCTCTCGTTTCCTTTTCCTAGGGGGTGTATTTTTTTCTCTAGCTTAGCTGAGCTCTGTTTTTTTGTATAATTCGTTTGGGAGGAGGGTCCCAAAGTGTTCTCATTTCCATTTTTACTAGAGAAGTTGAAGTGCCAAACGGCTAAATTGACAGCCTTGGTTAAGCTTGTAGGATAACGCTGCTTGTCTTTGGGCTTAAGCGAAAAGATTCGCCTTGATTTATGTCAACTTATATTTCCCTGTTATCTTTTTCAATTAAGGATTCAAGTAATCAAATCAAACAATTTTCTTACGTCATGCTATCCTAGAGTAGTTTATATTTTTCACTAACCGACCGGTTTAACCCGCTTAAAGGTTTCATTTTGCTTAGCTTTGCTTAAGCCCTAACCAAACAGGGCCTTGTATTCTGGGAGAAATAAGAATATCCAATTTTATGTTAAACTTGCTATGGGTGGCTTGTTACTATGGATCCAATATAGAGTGGAAGAAGAACGGGTAGAAAAGTGTAAGGAGAGGTTGCTTCTCGGATTTAAATACAAATTTTTAGTTATTTTTAATTGTTTCCAGTTTTTCTAGGCCTATTACAGCTGGTAAACTTGTAAAATTGATTATGAAACAGGTCCTCATAATCAAAGCTGTTGCAGTGATTTGCCAATTGCTCCGAGAATCATTTATAATTAAAAAATGTTTCAAAGTTGGACTCCACTTTTATTATTTTTATGATATCTGTTTTCGTTGCACTTTCCTTGTTGCTTGTATTACAGTACATGCATGGTGGATGACTATACTTTCAGTCACCTTTTCTTGACATACGGTAGCTTATTCTTTTTATGGCAACCATTTAATTTGATATTTTTCGATATGAGTTTTTTGGTATTCTTACTTTAAGTTGGATTTATGATGGATATTGATGCAAATTCTTAAGTGCATGTTTTTTCTGTTGTTTGAATGGTGATTTTTGGCGTTCTTTTTTTTTTCTTCATAATATGTTTGCATAAACTAGTTATGAGTCAACACTACATGCCTTATGAACTTTTTGACCAAAAAGTATATTGCAAATTTTTTCTAAAGAGGTTGTTACCTGTGTATTTTAATATCATTTTTTTTTCAATTATGCATATTAGTAGTCTGAATTGTGGTAAAACTTGTCCATTTGATTTGAGCTTTTCAATTTTAGGGTACTCTTTTGCAGATTATCCATTTTTTTCCCGCACTCTCACTTATTGATAAAGAGATGAATTTTGATTTATCTTTTAAGTGTAAGCATGTTTAGTGTTTAGAGAGTGATGGTTTGTCATCCTTTGTTCATAATTTGTATGCAAATTAAATTTCCGTGCTTATTCATTGTTTTTTACTATATGTATTGTATCATGAACGTTTTAATCGGCATCCTTATTAGAAATTTCTAAAATTTTAATTACTTGTGTATTGTAACACTGAAATAATAATTAAAATCTGTCCTATTGTTGATATGATTTGTATTGACCATAACTAATTATGCTTCAATGGACAATAATTGGAAGAATTCTGACCTACTGACACTTTATGTGTTCTCATTGTCATTGAGCCCATAGACATATGCTCGAGTGGCAAAAAAAAAAAAAAAAACGTGAAATTGACCTGCTGTATATATTTGGGAACATTTTCTTTTCCTCCCTGACTATGTAAGTTTACAAATCATTGTAAATTGGAAGCCACGAAGCTTGTAAGGATAACAATTGGAATGATGTTTGTGTAAAAGTGGCGTGCAAATGAAAATATAAGGAACGGGGTATGAAATGGAAGTCTTCACCGAGACTACACCAAGGAAGAAGTCCCAAAATTGAGCTCGTCGCTAAGAAAGCGGTAATAGAAATGGAAAATAATATAAAATTAGAAAATCTAAATCTAATATAAATCTAAATTTATATACTTTAAATACTAGAATTTAAATACTAGAACTAGAATAAAAGAATAAAAAAGAGAGGCAAAAGATGACAAAGGAATTTTGTATCAGATTACTTTTTTTTGGGGAGTTTGTATCAAACTACTTGTCTCACGGTCTTGAAGAGTGAACCTTAACTTGGGCAGTCTATTGAGGATTTTTTTTTTTCAGAGCAGACTATGTCTTTTCTGAAAATAAATGTTTTTTTCCTTTCAATTGACAAATCAGAAATATTAGTTATTTCAAGATTTAAAATTTTTTCTTAGAGATTTTTTGGTTGTTTGCATTTGAAATATACGCCCTTGAAAAATGAAGAGTAAAATGATTTTCTATTTACTTGCAATTGTTTGGTTGATGCAAAGAGTATGCACGGAAATTGCTTTTTTTTTGGTTAGCATTATAATTTAAAGAACAATGCTGTATTAAATAAGGTGATAAAATATCTTATGCTTTAAAAATGCGGCAAATCTATAAAATTGTGGAACTAATGCTTGTCTATTAATGGCTGACCTTGATGAAACAAACAATTATTGATAGAAGAACATCCTCTGCAAATTGTGTTGACTCATAAAGCTCTATAATTGAAACAAAATGGATAACATATTGAATGGGATAAATATAACCAGCTACACTGTTTTTGTTCTCAGTGCTAATTGATTATGCAAAGAACTTCTAATTTTATGTACTCAGAAGGCACACAAAGCTACGGAAAAGGTGAACGCAAATCAAGGAACAAGATATAGACAATCACAATGATGGAAAGACAACAATCATGGTCGAATAACGAACACCTGAAAAAACAGAACCTTTCAATTATTTAATTTTATACCTCTTATATTTGCAACCAAGCACTCCCTTTATCAATTATCAATTTATTGAAAGTTGTTTATCCTCATCTTGGGAAGATAAATGAACAATCATGTATCAACATATCTGATTTCATCTTATGATAGAAAATATAAAGTTTTGATAAGCTGAAATCTATACATTGATTTTTATAACGTTGCAGTTTAAAGATTCTTTATTTTTAAGGGCGTTTATTTATTTATTTATTTTTTACTTATTAGCTTATGTTTTAGTTGGTTATTTGATTTTATTTGATGTTTTGATTTTATTTGTATAATGATTTCTCCTCTAGAGTTTGTTAAAAAGTTTATAGCGAATATTTATATAATATTTATGGCTGAAATATATGATGCTTAAGTTTTGAGCTTTAATAATAGGTCAGTCAATGAATGAGATATTACTTAATTTATGCGTACATCAAATGGCATTCTGATTAGCAGATTTTATAGTGTTTTGTATTTTGAACCTGATTAAAATGAAACTTCTTATGAATCCTATTTTTTGACAATACTATTGTGCAATCCAATATTAAATAGAGCAACATAATAATTTATGCTCGCATGATAACTTTTTCGAGGCTCGTATTTTTTTTGGCTTGCCTAGGGTTTGAGTCACCACCATTGTATCTTGTGCCATCATAATTTCTTACTTTTTTTTGTGGAAACTGGCCTATTTTTCATCAGTTTATAGGAGCGGGCTAATTATAATTTTTTTTTTCTTTTCCTTTTTATTGGTTTTAGTGTAGTTCAACTTCTTTATTGCAAAGGAGCGGGATAGTGTGAAGAGCTGAAATCTAATATTAACACAAGGATTTGGAGCATATAGGGTATTGACTTAGATGTTTGCTTGTAGCAGTAACTATTTTACAATCTATAACTGTCTTTATCGCATCATTGAGAAGATTCAGTAATGCTTTCAGTCGGCAGCTGTTGTTTTTTCGGATTATTAGAAGCATGCGCGAGTTTTGTATTTCTTGGATGGGCTATCTAATGTGAGATTTAATGTTTAGGACATGGATTCTTATTTTTGGGATGTTCAGGAAGAAGAAAATGCTATGTGAGATAAAGTAACAAATACTATTAAACAAGTAGCAAAAGATGTATTTGGAGAATCAAAATATAAAATTTTTATAAATACAAATAGTTGGCGATGGAATAATAATGTGCAAGAAAAGATAAAATATAAGAAGTTATGTTATAAAAATTGATTTAAATGTAGAAACTTAGAGAACTGGGAAAAGTATTAAACGGTCCGCAGAGAGCTTAAAAGAACAATCTGTGATGCTAAAAATTTTTCTTTTAGTGATGTTTATAATATATTAGATATTAAGGATGGTAAAAATTATATGTATAAACTAGCCAAGCAAAGAAAAAAGAAAAGTAAAGATTTAAATCAAGTAAAGTGTATTAAAGATGAAAATCAAAAAGATGAAAGATGAAAATCAAAAAGTGTTTTTCTTAGAATAAGATATTCAAGATAGGTGGGTGAGTTATTTTGATAAACTTTTTAATGAAGTTTTTGAAAATACGATTGACCTTAGTGATATTAATATCACTAATAATAATAAAACGTTTATAATAAAATGTTTCATTTTTATCATAGCATTAGTAAAGAAGAAGTTGAGGAGGCTTTAAAGAAAACCATGGGTGGAAGTCTGTAGGACTTGATGATATCCCAATTGAAGTATGGAAATATTTAGGAGACTTGGGAGTTTCTTGTCTTACTAAACTCTTTAATATTATTTTTAAAACCAAAAAGATGTCTGAGGAGTGGAGGAAGAGTATTTTTGTTCCTATTTTTAAGATTAAATGGGATGCACAAGAGTGTGCAAATTATAGAGGAATTAAGTTGATGTGTCCTACTTTAAAATTACGGGAGAGGGTAATTGAACATAGGTTAAGATGTATTACAAATATTTCTAATAATCAATTTGGATTTATGCCGAGCAGGTCTACTATGGAAGCTATACATTTATTGAGAGGTTTCATGGAGAAGTTCAAAAATTATAAGGAGGATCTACGTTTGATTTTTATTTATTTAGAAAAAGCTTACGATAAGGTTCCAAGAGATATCCTTTGGAGAGTTTTTGAGAAGAAATGTGTTGATATGACTTATATTCAAGTCATTAAAGAT